TCGGAGCAGGAGCAGGAGGAGCAGGAGCAGGCGCGGGAGTGAGGAGAGGAGTCCTCAGTAAACCTTTATGAATACAGGGCACAGGTGATAAGCGGGGTGACAGTTCCCATCATGTGACATGTAGGAAGTCAGGGAAGGCTTCGTATCAAAACTTCTATTTGGTTCCTGGCCCGTAGCTTAGTGCGTCAGCCTGTGGTCTGAAGGGTCATGGGTTCAATTCCCAATCAAGGGTACATATTTGGGTGGCTGGCTCCCCAGCCCTGGTGGGAGCGCAGAGGGGAGGCAACCAATCATGTGTCTCTTGTTGATGTCTCTCTCTTCCCCTCCTCCCTCCCTTCCACTCTATGGAAATCAATAGGGAAAAAATATCCTGAGGTGAAGATTAAAGAAAGTTATATTTAGGCTGAGTCTTAAAGGGGACCTAACTTCTGGTGAAGAGAAGTGGTTTCACACTGAGGCAGAGGGAAAAGCACTCGCAGAGAAGGGCATTTGGAAAGGAACATTTTCAGATGAGTATCATACTTCGAAGCGTCTTATGGTCTCCTGGGATTCAGTCCCCATCACTCCCCTGGCCTGAAATACAGATAGCTGCAAGGAAAGGACTGTATCTTAGTGTAATATTTGTTAAGCTAAGGGCTGAAGGCTCATCCTGTGTATGAGGAACCAATTTTTCACATGCCTCCCAAAATCAAAGGTGTGTGTTTAGACGGACAGAGGAAAGGCATTCACAGTCAAAGTTACCTTCCCCCAGGGTTGTCAGCATCACACCGAGGTGTGGGCAACACCTCACAACAGGAAGCTCAGGGCCCAGCAAACTCATGCCTTCATGGGAGTCATTTCTCCCAGGGTGCATCTCTGCCCTCACTAGCTACGGGAAGACAGGTGTTGCGTCTTATTCGTTAACAGTGGGGAGCAGCAACTAGTTGTTCCAAATTGCTGGTTAAGTGCATGGGTAACGGGACCAGCATCCTGTGCTTTCTAAAGAATGGGGTTTCTATCTCCCCTCCTGTTTCCACAGTGTAAGTTCCAGACCGTGGTGGAGGTTGTCAGTTCATGTTCTTCCTGGGCTCACAAGACCACCTTTCTCATGGGTAGGGGGGGCTGTGGGACCAGGTCTAGCCCATGAAGCAAGACAGGAAGTGATGGGTGCTGCTTCCTAGATGTGGTATTTGAGTGGTAGACCACCTGCAAGCTCTCAGTAATGACCCTGGGATTCACTAGTTGAGATGGGAGCATCTTTGGATATAGATGGAGGAGTTTGGATCCCTGAATTGCCAGGTGAAAAGGAGCCCCCCCACTGACCCTTGCTGGGAATATGTAAAAATTAAATGAACCTCTCTTGTGCTAAGGTTTTGCTTTGCTGCAGCCTATCTTGACTAATATATACATCTCACTTCCTCTCCATAAGATAGAGAGAATATGGATTACACATAACTCAATAAAAACATGGCTCACTATTTGATGGAGGTAATGAGAATAGGTATGCATTTCAACAGACAAGTCCATTGTCAACTTTACTTCTTTAGAAAAAACTTCTTTAGAAGAAACTTCTCCACCGGCAGTTCCAGAAAAGGCGGAGTATCCCTTGACCAGTTAAGTTATTAAGATTATGCTTCTTAGTTGGTCACTTTTTGCCTTGCTAACCAGGAAGCTCAGAGCCAAATATAACCTCGTGGAATGTGTTTTGCCAATTCTATCAATCACTTTGCTCCTCAGTCATTTCCCTGGCATCCCGATTTATCTCTTTTCTCTCATTGTGTTTTATATGCTCTTATAAGTAAAACTTTCTTTTGTGAAGGGAAGAAGATGATGATGAAGGGTGAGAACCAAACTTTTGGATAAACTCAGAACAAGGAATCCATGAGCCATTGTCTCCCTACACTGAAGGCCTGTGACAGGGTAAGTCAGCTCCGAGTCAAACGATAGGTGGTGTTGATGTTGACTTTTCTTCTGGGTTTCATGACTTAATTTTTCCTTTGCTTTCTATCAGCATAGCTCACAGAGTTAATGAGGATAATTGCTGGTGCGGGATGCACAGTGAGAGAGTTAGTGGCAGTGGGTGTAACTTGCTGTTGGTTTAAAATAGCTATGCTCATGGATTCAGGGTCCCCATTAATCACGGGCACTTCCTCCTTCTGAACTGTCACACACACTGATTCACAATTTTGATGGAAAACATTCCCTCCATAACATTCCCCAGCTGATGATACATTACCAAATGCAAAAATAGGAACATTTTAAAATCTCAGCTCACACCTCACATTACTTTTTACCTTTGCTTTCCAGACCTGTGTAGATTCAGTGGCAATGCAACATCCTTTCTACATTTTCTGCAATTATATTTATCAATGATCTACAACAGATGCACATAGACACATGTGAAAAAAATTCTTTATTAATTTCTCACATTTTATTACAAAATGTATGTTGCAAACAACTTGAATAACCTACTTGTGTGTTTTTGTGTTTTGTTTTTTTTAAACCCTTGGCTTCAAGAACTCAGGATCTCCCTATCTTTTCATCAAGTATTGGGAAACACTGATTATTGGAGTCAATAGGTTCTCATTTTGCTATTTACTTTCTTCTCTCAAACTCTGAAAAAAAAATGTCCTCTGTATAAATTAAACAAAAAAAAAATGTTGTAAAGTCTATGTCATTACAGTCAACAGAATTATAATAATGCATCCAAAATGTGCGGCCACAAAATATTAGGTATATGTTTGAAAAAAAGAAAAAAAATGACATTCTAGCCTTGTTACAAGGATAATGGTCCCATATTTTTATTAACAGGTTAGCAAAACAAAATCCAATGGATTACAATATTTACATGTTATTTGAAAAATAAAGTAGTGATAAAAGCATGTCACAATTATTTTCTTTCTTTTTTTTTTTTCCCTTTTTCTCTCTTTGCCTTTTTTTCTTTTTTGTTTGTTTTTTGGTAACCATTACAAATACCCAATCCATCCAGGTATGGAACTGTTTTAATGCATTTGAAATGAGGACAATTAAAAACAAATATGGACACGAAACAAAATCTCTGCTTAGATAGTTCACACTTTTCCCATTTTCTGGTTTCCACATGATGGCCCTCATCCCTAAAAAAAAAAAAAAAAAAAAAAAAGCCCTACAAAAAAAAAATCTTAATAGCAAGAAAATAAAGAACATGCTTTTCAAGTAAGCACTTATTCCACAAATGCAATATCTTTCCATGGATTTTATTTGAAGCTATGTGGGACACTGTCATCTCTGCAATTCCCTTCCCTTTCTTCCCTCCCCCTCCCCCAACCCTTCCAAGTAAAAAAACAAAACAAAAACAAAAAACATGAAAACCAAAGGACTCACACACACACTCCTCTCTCTCACACCCACACACACGCATGAGAACACACACATCCAAGCACACAAGCTCACAGGCTTCTAAAACCTAGGCTTCAAGGAAAGTTCTTTTCTACTTTTTGTAACAAAAACTCTTTGTTCACAATCAGAACATATTATAAATGTAGACTTAGATTTAGTCTAAGCTGCTCCCTCCTGAAAAAGCTAAGACAGGGAAACGGAGCAGCTGGCAGCTAGATTTAAACAAACAACAAAAAAGTAGTTCTCCAGGTTCCTTGTAGGATGTAAGTATTTCTTGTCCATTCTCACCAAAGGGATGGGGTTCCCTTATCCCGCAAATTAAATGAGAACCCCCCACCCCCCAAATAAAAACACAACACATTGCAAACAAAAGCAAAACAGATTTGAAATCACGCACAAAAGCCAGCCCATCCTAACAAAGTACTTGTGTGAGACGGATAATGTGATAGTTTGACAAGCAACAAAAGGGTGAAGAGGACTTCTCGTCTGGCCCACAAGCTGCATAGCTGTGCCAAAAGTTTGGTTCTTTAAATTAAAAAAAAAAGAAAAAAGTTCTTTGTTATTTCCATGTTTAAAATAAAAAACATTCCTATTCACACACACACACACAAAAAAAAAACCCCTAAATCTCCCTTGCCCCAAATTAAAACAATAACACACGCACACAAAGAAAAACAATTTATATGAAAAACTGAATTGTGCTGTGTTTGTAACACTCAAGCTGATAGAAAAATGAACATGTGGCAAACGGAACTCCACAGTCACGGTAAAATTAGCTTGTATGAATCTACCAAAGTCTTAAATCATAGCTGAACACTAATAAACAGCTTACCTGGGATAAAGGATGACAATTCACAAACAGTTATCTAATAATTAAAGTCTGTTTCTTTTTTTTGTTTTGTTTTTTACTAAAATAATTAAAAAAATCACAGTATTTTAAGAAATAAAACCCACATGGGGATTTTAAGCACAATTTGTGTTCCTTTCTTTAAAACTCTTTTTTTTTTTTTTCTTTCTCCATTCACCATCTTGCCCAGCAGTTCTCTCTACATTTAACCACGGCGACGACAGGTAGTACTGACAAATGCAGAGAATTCCCTTGGTTAAGTTTGAGGTACTAGGAAACAGGTGACTGTTTTTAGGCAAAGCAGTTTTTTTGTTTTCTGTTTTTGTTTGTTTGTTTGTTTGTTTTTTCCCAAAGCGGCTGCAGTTAGGTCTTGAAAAAAGCTTAAGGTATGAAAACTAGAAAAACGCACGGAAAGTTGTGCGTCAGAAAAATGTTGTTCCCCTAAGAAGTCTTCTATCGTCACGGAGCTTGTTTCCACGCACTGTCCGAGCCCACCGCAGGGCACGCCGTGCCCGGGAGGTGCTGCGCGTCCCGCAAGCCAGTGACACTTCCACGAAGATCCGGGAGGGGAGGTGTAGTGATGGGAAAGGAGCCACATATTCCAACCATTTAAATAACTTTAATTTACATACTCACTCACACAGGTACCAGTGCTTTGAAAATAGATTGTTCAGTCCGAAAAAGCAGCTTTGTTCTGTCTTCCTCTTCTCTGTCCCCCAGGTCTCAGCCCTAGCTGGCCCTCCCACTTTGCATCACAGTTCAAGTAAGGTTGGGATCCAGAACTCCACCCCGCGCTTTATTCCTTCTCGGCCTCGGCGTCCTCCAGGAGGGATCTGTCGGCAGCCACTACGCAGATGGCTACTGTCTCGCTCTTGAGGGAAAAGTCCATCCCGAGCGCCTCGACATCGTCCTCCTTCTCCTCAATGCAGGGCATCTTCACGCCGTCCTGCACGCTCTCCTGTAGCTGGATCTCTTCTCGGCTCACCTGCTGGGTGTCATTCAACGCCCTGGAGAAACATGGGTGGCAGAGACGGGTGAGTGTGTGTTGTTTCCTAGTTAAATGAAAAAAAGACTCGCATCCTTAATGAAAGGCCTTGGGGTTTCCTTGGAACCAAATGCCACGAAAGGATGACTTAAGTCATGAGCGACTTATCCTTGCTACATGTTGTGCTTAGGACAAGTGTTCCTGGTTCTTGGGCCTTCAGAAATATCCATTATCATACTATGGTTTGATGACATCACGCTTTGATGACGTCAGATTAATATAACGGTTTTGTGTTCCCCGCTTCTACTGGGAACAGAGAGAGGTTGTAAGTGGTCAGAGCGAGTCTTGTCTTATGCTCAACCTCATCAGCGGAACCCGGAAGCTAGGAGGTTGGCTGTGTTTATTGAGACTAAAAAGAGCAACAGCCCCGGTAGCAAAGAGTTAACGGACAGGCCCAGAAGCAAATCATAGAACTAAATGAAAAGCAAGAACCCGAAGACCGAACCCACACCTTGGGAAGCTGAGTTATAGTCTGAAATTTAGATGCTTCAGGTGTCAGGGGTATTTTCTGCTAAAAGGACCAACTCATAGGCTATCTGGAAGACTAAGGACAATTTTATATTCAAAGATCTTACAGGTGTTTTACAGGTGTGCTCCCACCTACCTGGGAGGCAGGCAGAAGCTGGCTCTGTCCCCGAGGCAGAGCACGGAAGGCACCAAGAGGTGCGTGGGAATGTTCCAGGCCACTTGGGGAATGAGTCATCAGAGGCAGGAACAGAAGCCAGATCTTTTGACCCCGGTCCACGCTCTATCAGAGAACGCCATGCTAATGAGAGCTGAAGGGACACTGGCTGGAGAAAGCGCGACACTTGTACGCGAGGGCTTGAGTAGGATTTGCCATCGTATCGAAGGTGATTTTTTGTTTTGTTTGTTTTGTTAGACTTGTGTCTAGGTGACCATTTAAAACACCAACAGAAAAAGAGAGGAGAAACCTAGTTCCTGACATCTGCTTCTCCTCCCATGCCCAGATACGTGACACAGAGGGGGCTGGGTGCCGGCAGGGGAACCAGAAAACAATGAACCTGACCTCCCTACCACACCTCCCGCCGGGCCAAGGCGCCTGGGGAGGGCTCAACTTACATGCCGTGTCTCAGCACGTGCCTCTCCCACTCGGAGCCCTGCGAAAACGCCCGCCCGCAGAATTCACACGGAAAGCGCTTCTGAGCGTTCATGGCAGCCCCGCGGTCAGCGAACCTCATCAGATCTGTAAGGAGAGAGCCGGACAAACGTTACCTGCGTGTGGCGGGAGAGGTAAGCCAGCGTTTAGGAGGAGACCTCCTTCCTTCCTCCCCTCCCTGGTCACACCACGTGGGAGAGCAAGTTTCAAACCCCCCGTCCTTTCTCCCACCGGCTTTTCGCCCGACGGCACTCCTGGAACCGTCCCTGGCTCCCAGGCCCCACACGTGCCCATCCACACCTCTCCAGCTGCTTCTGTCGCTAACAACCGGGGCCTTTCCCACGGCATCTCAGCAGGTTTCCTATCAAATCTCCCCGCCCGTGATGGTCTAGTAGTGCTTCACTATAATAGCACTATTTTCTATCTGACACAAGTTTGCTCAATAAAAAGAACATAGGATCCCGCAAGCATGGCCCAGGTGACACGCAGATGCGGGGTGGGGTATCGACGCCTTCCAGTGGGAACGCCGTCCTGACTCCGACGGCGCTCACTGCCTCACTGTCGTCACCAACACCTCACGGGGTCTGAGCACCGAATGCCTGAAGGTGCGTGCTGGACTCCGGGAGGCCGGTGTGTGAAAAAGCGTGCCCCGCCTCCCATTCCTCTGGACAGGTCTGTTGTAGACACCCAACGTGGACCGTCATTGTTTTTTTCTCCTCCGTGGTGCTGCACACATGGTAAGAGTCTGATAAGCGTGAATTGGGCGGCTAATTGTTTATAGGCCACTCCTCCCGGCAACTTCCAAGACAGGAGCTTCTGTGGGATCTCGAGTCCCCAGCCCATGTGTCTTTCATGACACTGCAGCAGGCCACTTTCTCCCGGGCTAGCACCATAGGACGAGCACAGATTGGCAGCTATGCGGCAGAGGAGGGCAGGACTGACCACCTCCCCAGACCTGATCCCTCGCTGCCTGAGTGTACAAGACGTTACGGGGAGGCGTCTCCTGGCTGCAAGCTTCCAGCTCCTCAAACTGTGGGACGGCGCTCACAGGGTAGGCCTTAATCTTCAGCTCACAAAGCCATGCGAACGGGCCAGTGTGAACAAAAGCACGAAGCCTTTTCCTCACAAATTAAGAAGATCACCACACCAGCCATTAAAAATAATTGCACAGACTATCTCCCTTGATTCTTTTCACTGGAAATGAGACAGCACCATCTGCTCGGCGCATTAATTTCTTAGCAGGGATTATTTTGGGCAAGAAATCAACAGAATGCCTCCCTGACTCCTCCCAACTGCATAATGAGAGGGGGCGGGGAGGAGCCTGCCTCGGTTAATTTTGGTTTCTTCTCTTTCAGATTCCCTCCGAGGCGGCACCTGCAGGGTGGCCACGCCAGCCCTGGCTCCAGATCTGGTGCTGGAAGAGGCTGCCGGGAGTGGGGTCCCCACAAGGACGAGGGCCCCCTGAACGAGGGCCTGATGCAAGTCCGCCCTGCCAATGAGGGGCGAGCTCCAGGCACACGCGCGCCTTTACCCGGAGGAACATGAAACCACTCATCTATCCTTCCCAAGGCTCCTGTGGCTCGGCCTCCGAGGAGGCGGCCAGTCACTACCTCTCACCCGGCAAGCTGTTCTCCATCAGCGGCGCTAGAGCCACCACCCGCTCTCCTCCTGGAAGACAGGCCGGCTGGCAGACACCCCCAGGCTATTGTGTGTCCTTTCTTCTCACTGGCAGGAACCCACCTCCATGGTGAGAGTTGGATTAGAAGGAGATGAGACAAACTCGGGAGGGATGGGAAGTGAGGCTGATGATTTCCATGAACAGTACTGGAAGCGGTTCCTGTAAATCTCTTACCCAGGGAGAGACAGACAAGCTTCTCCACCCACCCCGATGCTCTTCCCACGTGGTGAAGGCTGGTGAATGGGAGGCTGCCCTCCAGTGAGATACGGTCAGACGCAGTGAAGCTCTTTCTAGTCCAAAAAGAGCAGGTCTGAAGCTCATGTGAGGGGGCGGCCACGCAGCACGAGCGGGAAACCTGCCTGTGCCCACACTTCCAGCTGCCACCTCTTCTCCCGTCTCTGCTTTTACGTGGAGGAGTCACCGGGGAGGCCTCACGAGGACTTTTGTCTCTGTAATGCTTATCACCTCTTAAGTTCACGTGTATTCGCTTTAAAGACTCAGAAGTCACAGGACCTGGGGTGGGAGGGCAGGGCCTGGGGCCTCCGGAGGCGCAGGAGGCCCTCTGTCAGAGGACCCCTTTCCAGAGAACGCGGGGAGCAGTGCACCGATCCCATCACCAAGAACCTATCTATGGGATACCGAGAAAGAAAATGCAAAACCCAGCTTCTCAGATCACAGCTACTGTCCGTGCGAGAGACGGAGGAGTCTGGCCCCTACTCACAGACGCTGTAATGTCTGTCACAAGGGCAACCAACCTACCGGTGAGGATGCTTCCTTTGTCACTTATTTTCCAGGTTACGGTGGGCATGCTGGCACGCCCTGGCTCACCCTGTAAACAGCAGTCCCTGCTGCCGTCCTAGCCAAAAAGGGGCTCCCACTTTGCAAACCTGGGGTGTCCTACCACCGCGTCATGGTGGGGTGGATGGGGATGGAGTGGGAGTGGGAGGAAAAAACCCCAGAAGATTCTCACAGGGAAATGGTCACCCAATACTCTCCCTCAGGCTTGCAGACTGACCAAGGAGGGGGAAAATAGCTATTTTTGTAAAAGTGTACCTTAGCGTGAGACCCTAATGGCCACGGAATTGATAGAATTCAGGGTCAAGTTCCCTTCAGTGAACAGGCCACTGTCCACAGGGTTGGCAAACAGGACATCCTGTAAAAGGAATTTTGTCTTTTGGCTCCAAAGGCAAGATCCCATCTCTAGTGTTTTGTTTTTGAAACTTTGCATGAGCTCTTAACTTTTCTGGGCCTTTATTTCCCCACTTGCCAAATGACAATACCACCTCCATGGCAGGGTTATCATCTACCAGGTGGCCACCATGTTTCAAGGACTGGTTTGTGTGTTGTCTCACTGGAGCTTTACACAGAACCCTAGGAGATAGGTGATATTATTATTATTGATGATGAATGTACAGGGAGATACCCAGCCATATAGCTACTAGCCCAGTGGTCGGCAAACTCATTAGTCAACAGAGCCAAATATCAACACTACGACGATTGAAATTTCTTTTGAGAGCCGAATTTTTTAAACTTAAACTTCTTCTAATGCCACTTGTTCAAAATAGACTTGCCCAGGCCGTGATATTTTGTGGAAGAGCCACACTCAAGAGCCGCAGTTTGTCGACCATGGTACTAGAAAAACTGAAGCCAAACCCTAGACAGGCCAACTGCAGATCCCTCTCCACGACATGAGCTTAAAGAATCAAAGGCATCTAACCGTCCCCCCTCAGCACTGCGGGGACATCTACGGTCCATTACTCAGGCTGTGGTACCCGTGTGACTCTGATAAGTCTGCAGTCACTGAAGGTAACGGATTACAACCTGACTGCTCATACACACGGTCTTGGGATTTCCACAATATTCCGCGCTGATCGATGTAGAGAACTCTACACACATGCCTGTCTGTAATTACATATACTTTCAACAAACTTCATTTTGAAGATAATTATAGACTAAGAAGAAGTTGGAAAAATAGTACAAAAATTCCATGAGACCTTCCCCCGTGTCCCTTGTAAACACATGACTAGATGAAAACTACTGGTTTTGTCAAAGCCAACAGCAAGGCAGTTAAGGGAGGGCCATGCTGAGGACTGGGGGGGTGGGGTGGGGAGTAGGGCTCAGGATTTGTCTCACAGCCTCCTCCACTCACAACCTCAGCAGCAATTTCAAATCAGCGTCCCATTGGGTGTTCACTGACATCCCCTGATAGCTCTAGTGCCATCCAACTTGCCATTGGCCAGTCCTTATACTAAGACCCCGAAGACACCCCTTTTCCTTATTAAAAACAAATCACCACTCTGCATTGTTAATAAACAAATCAACCACAGCGAGAGAGAAAATGCCTGTTTCCCTCAGAGTTTCTACAGCTGGAAATAGTTTACAAGGCACGGCCCCTGCCAGATCTCTCGAGCCAGTCAGTTCTGCTGCTGAACAAAGGGATCGCTCCTTCTGTTACTCCTACAGCACCCCCCTGCCTCCCCGTCTCCCCACCGACTTGCTGCCTGCCACCGGGGCCCGGAGGGTAGGCGAGACTCACCTCTGTCTTCGGCCTTGCCCACTTCCTCCTCCTTGTCGTCGTCCTCGCTGCTGGAGCTCTCCAGCTTGCCCTTCATCTGCTCCAGCTGGTCCAGGTTGACCCGTCCGACCAGCTCGAAGTTCCGGCTCACCTGCAAGAGGCCAAGCGCACGATGGGAGCGGGCCGCGGGCGGGTGGGGGGAGAGCTCTCTAGCACCCGTGCCCTGTCTGTTTTTGGAACCAAACGACACTGGTGCTAGGCAGTCCTCCTCTCCACGGAGACGCTGTTTCTGAGGTGGGTGCTCCCACATCCCACCGTTTTCAATGGGACTGTCAACACCAGGCCCTCCTTACGGCACTTAGAAAAGTGAGCTGTTGGCCAGAAAGGAAAAGTATCATAAAGCCTGGGGAGTAGAGGGGGTGGCCAGCAAACAGTCTTTTGTTTCTTTGTCAATCCTCACCCGAGGATATTTTTTCCAGTGACTTTCAGACAGAATGGAAGGGAGGGAGGATGTTGGGGGGCAGGGGAAGGAACATCGAAGGGAAAGACACACATATTGATTAGTTGTCTCCAGCCCTGCCAGGGATCGAATCCACGCTCTCAACACTGAGCACCCGGCCAGGCCCGGGAAACCGTTTTTAGTTGAATTCAAAGCAGTGACCTTTGTAAGCCACCCAGTTTTTCTGGAGGCGAAGAGGCTCTAAGTATCCGGAGAACGGGAGTGGCAGCCTCTTCCCCCACGGTCCCGCCACCTGCAGGACTGCAGGCTGTCCCGGCAACAGTGACTGGATTCCTAACTCACATGCTGACCAGGAGCCCCAGGTTAGCACAGAACTCGGGGCAACACACAGCCATGGGCTACCCCTATGGCAGGCGCTGGGTTCTCCCGCTGGAGGGAGGGATGGAGGCAGGGCCCACAGAGGAGACCCAGTCTGGGCCCCAGAGGCTCATAGTGCGCCAGCAATTGGAGAGGGAAGACAGACAGACATTAACTAGACTGCAAGGCAGATGTCCATAGCTGCTCCACAGAGAAAGAGAGTGTGAGGAGGACAAGGAGAGGACAGGAAAGATTTACAAGACAATCCCAAGATATTCCCTGGACCAGACTGGAACACAGATTCGCTGAGCACCACAGTTCCAGATGCCAGGCAGATGGGATCACCACCACCAACTGTGACAAACACGACAGACACTCGCAGTATCAGGGCCAACGAGCAGTCAGTCCTCTGACGGGCTTGATATTGTCCCCACCAAGCTCCGTAAGAGGGAGCATTTCAGAGGAGGAAGAATACACTCGGGATAAAAGCTCTTTAGAAACCAGAGGAGCAACACATGGAATAGAACGAGGACCCCAGGAAAGCAATCACTTTGAAAACAACGAGACATGGGGCTGGGAGAGGGGTCTGCGTCCGTCTCAATGCTCAACACTCGGACAGCAAGTTGTTGTTCTGCTCATTAAAAAGTTGTAAAAATTAACAGGCTAACGTGAGAAAGAAGCTGTCTCAGAATCTTGGTTTGTCTTTCTACCCATCTAACAAGCGTTCATAGCAACAGTCTCAAAAGCACTTCTGCTTGTGGCACCTTCCTAACCCGGGGTTTATCCATCAGGCCTTACTCCCACAGACCGATGGAAAGTTTTACTAATTCATTTTACAACATGAAGTGAGAGGGGGCACGGGAGCAAGAACGCAGAAGTCAGACCTACATTTAAGTCCAGGGGTTGCCGTACTCAGACTCTAGGCAAGTTACTCAATACAAATATCCTCACTTATAAAGTGGGGGGGGGGGGGGGGGAGGAGAGGGGGGAGTGGTCAGCACACTACCCAAAACACAGCTGTTCCCCCAAACGTCGTTTCCTGCCCCTTGCTGGGAATGTGGTCTTCTCCAATTTGGGCTTTTGGAAAAGGCGTATGATGAGCATTGTCAATGCATATTTATGAAGTTATGTTTAGTCACAAACTCTGTATTTTAACCCACTAGCATTTATGACAAATCTGAATAGAAGTTTTCTAGGTTGCCAGTTTTCAAGGAAAAGGAGGCAAGGTTCCAACCTGCCCAACTTTGAACTATGTGTAAAAAACAAAACAAAAACACTACATCTTTTGAAGGACTAGTACTTAAAAGGCAGCCTTTTCTGGCCACCTTCTCCCACACCCCACCTGCAGTTAGGCCACCTGTGTGTGAAAGGGACACGAGGGGTGGCAAGACGCCAGGAAACAAAAATGATGAAACCAAGAACGGCCAGAAGGAAATCCCGCATTGTTTCACCCAGTGCGTCTTCATCGATCCATTCCTTCATTGGACAAGGACTTCCTGAGGGCCTACTGTGTGTCAGGCCCTGCACCAGGCACCAGAGCCCTGCTTCCCGAGGGCTCCAGTGACAGACCTGCCGCCAAACCGAACGTTCCTTTTTTCTTCCCCGCCTCCCTCTTTCCTTTCCCTTCACTGGGAAAATGTTAACATTTTGGATTCTGCACAATTTTGAAAGAGTGCAAGACCTTTTCCTGGTTTTGATCGCGTTGGGTCCTAACTCTACTGTAAGTCCCCCGGTCAGCCAGCCAATATTAATCTTACTGCACGAGACTCCTTGCTGCGTCTCTGAGCCCATCTCTCACCTGGATGAATGCCATGTCCTCCCTCCGTCAGCCACTCTTACTCCTCTTGCATCTAATCTCCGGTGCCTTCTGAGTGATCTTTAAAAAATTTAAATCTGTTCATGTCAGCCTCCGCTTGCCCTGAGGAAAAAATCCTCATTTCTTACTGAGACTTGTGTGGCGGGTGATCACCGTGCCTTGGCCCGCCCTCTCCAGCTGTCTCCTCTTTGCTCCCACGGCCCTGAACTCACTGAGCTTTCTGGGATCTGCCAGACTCTTGATCCTGTGTCCTCCCTGCTCCCACTCCCCACCTCCCGTCCCCTCCCTCATGTGCACTTGCCATTTCCCGTTTGGCCTGCCTCCTCCACGTGGTAACTTCTGTCTTCCAGCCTTGCTTCAGTGTCAGACTCCTCCGTGGTTAAATATCCTTGCTCTGCACTCTCACAGCACCCCGCCCTCGCCTTTGGTGATTCGCTCCGCTCAGTAATTAATTGTTTATGGCCTGCACACACTCCCCTCCGCCTCCCACCCACGCTGCTCTGCATCCGACTCCCAGTGGGATCTCACCGGCCAGGCCTGGCGTGGCACACACATTCTCTGTATCGGTGGCATTCTTAATCGCTGTATAACGTTTCATTAGGGGCTATGTTATAGTTTACTATTCCCATGCGAGTTTACCTTTGGCTTTTCACTATTAAAAATGCAGTAATAGACCTTATTGTATGCAATCCTCTCTTTCCTGCTTAGTTTTAATTTTATAGGCTGAACTTGCAGAGGTGAAATTACAGGGTCAAAATCAAAGAGTTTGGACTTTATTGAAATTCCAATATGTGTGTGAGTTGGTTTCTGGAATGAGCATACAGGTCACTTCCGGACCTGGTCACGGGAGGGTATCTGATCCCCTTTCTAACGGTGCAGAGGACAACTTAGGGAAATTCACCTTTTCTTCTGGAGATGAAGGTAACTTATTACCTGTTTTCCCAAAGGCCCACAACAGAGAGAGAAAAACGAAGCAAAGGAGTTTAAGATTTAGGAGCCTTCTGAAGGCAAAAGCCATGGCTTTGAAGGGTGGAGTGTTCAAATACATTCTCACTCAGACTATAAAATTATACGCAGCCCTGGCCAGTGTGGCTCAACTGGTTGGAACATCGTCCCACACACCAAAGGGAGGTGGGTTCAATTTCCAGTCAGGGCAATACCCAGGCTGCAGGTTCAATTCTGGTCGGGACATTACTGGAGGCAACCAATTGATGTTTTCTCTCTCTCCCACTTATCAGTGAAAGACCTATCCTCAGGTGAAGGTTAAAATAAAACAAAACTATACACAGATCCTTATATCCTGTGACAGTTATCTCTGAATGCCCAAACCCCAAAGTCCCCTGTAAAGCCACTGACTCACAGTCGTGGTAAAGTCTGCCATCCAATGGGCACGTGGGATGAGGGGCATCGGCCAGCAGATGCTTTCCCAGGAAAGCTAAGCTCACACCGATGACACTGCCAACCGTCCCATGCTCTCAACGAGTGTTCAAGCCTCACAACTACACTTGCCTCTGATTGCTGGTCTTCAGCCTCTGGGCCGATGGGTTAGGACTGCCCCTGGCATAGGAGAGGAATCCCGTACTGAGGCTTACTCCTAAGGGAGAGGCACCTATGATTTACACACATTACCAAGGTGAGCATGAGCTTTCCTAGAGTGCTAGGTGGCAAACCCAGTCTCACAGGAAAAACTGATAAAAACTGGTTAACAAAAAAGCGCAACTGGACACCCCTGTCTGCAGATGACTTAGCAGATGTGGAATGGGGCAATCCATAGTTCCCTCCTTCAGACACAACGTTGGTACCTTCAGAAAGGGCCACCCAGCCAGGTGTTCGCGTCACCTAACACTCCATGTTCCCACTACGGAGGAAGGCCAAAGGGAACGTGACACCGGGGAGCACGGGACAACCGCCCCTCTCGCCCGAAAGGCCTCCCATCACACGTAGAGAACACGGCGTGCGGCGTGCATTGGCAAGGACTCGCGGACGGGCTGGCAGGTCTTCGGGGAGGCCCATGAGAGCACGTGTCTTAGGCTGTCAGGACCCCCCAGTCCCCGTCACAGCTACCCAACGGCTGTGCTAAACATGGAAATCCAAATGACAAGTCATTTCACGTGTCTCAAAATATTACTCTTGATTATTTTTCCTCCCAGCCATTTAAAATGTCAAAACCCCTCTTAGCTGGCAGGCCACATAAAACCAGGTGGCGGCCGGATCTGGTCCAGGGGCCAGAGTGTGACACTCTGATTACAATAGCAGGGGAGTTACCAGGCAGACCTCGGCGCCACCTGGGATGTTGGAATGGGGAAGAGGGAGAGAAAGCAGTGGGAGGACCCTTCGGCAGGCAGTGTCTCCGCGGTTCCTTACAGGACGATGGCCAAAGGGGTCGGGTCAGAATCTTCAATTCTCAGGTAAGAGCATTCCCATCAGAGCGCTCCTCAAGCCTCTAGAAGGACATTCAGCGACCCATGTGTCAGGTTCCTGGGGTGGAGAGCAGGGCCAGCATATCTGCCCCCTGTTT